TTTAATTTCTGTACTATTTCTACGATGTAGAAAAAGGTATATTACGGCAGAAGGGCTGAACGAGTGTTCGTTCTCCTTGTTGCAAACGTTTCAACCCCTTGAGCGTTCAGAATGAGCGTTAATCAAAGAAAGGAAGCCGAACGTTCGCTAGGACTCGTTAACAGCGCGTAGGATTGCTACCGATGGAACGATCTGGATTAATTATACGGCCTTATTGGTGCGAGATAGCTCTTTGTAAAATCGTGAAAAGCTACAAGAAAGAAGCGAAGGCAGTAAAGGAGAAGAAAGCGGAGAAATTGTTCAAAGTTGAGAAAAATGTGATGGTATCCTACGTTTAAGGAGATTGGATGGTTTCGATGAAGATATTTTAGAGAAATATGATCCATTGAGCGCCACGTCAGACCGGACGTCACAGATTTCCGCGATATTTCAGCGCGGATTTCTCTCAAGGCTAACGCCAGACGAGCGTGAGGATGAACGTCCGTGACTGCGAACCGTTATTACGTACCAGAATACTGTGATGCATGCATTTGCGTTTACGTGATGGAGAGCTAATGACCATTTCTGATACCATTTTACTTGGTAATGCAAATATTTATTTATTCTGATTATTAGGAAAATTATCGCCATAGAAAAAGGGAAAGATGATTTGATTTCTGAAAATGTCGGTAGCGGTCGATAAAATAAAACTGTCCTACAATATCTTCGCATTTTGTTCGTTGTACGAGGAAATTTTGACAATCGTATTGAAATCGACGTGTGTTGACCGAACAATAATGAGGTATTACAAATGGTTTCATAGAAGAGTTGGAAACGATAATGGAAAAAATAGGAAGCTACGTTATTGATTGAATATTTATCGATGGTTCTGAAGAATTGAGAAAAAAAAGAAGAGAATAGTGGGCAGAACACAATGAAGGAATACTTCCGCAATTTAAACGCCTGTAACGCAGACACCGAACTATTTCCTTCGTGAAATTGGCGGCTCACTTGCCTCTTGCCTTCAACGAAGCCTCGAGCGCCATTAATCAATGGGGAATTCAGCAATTAACGCTCTGGTTTTATTAACGTGCCACTCTAACCCGCACCCATGCCATCCAGCCGATATATCCGCACGTTATACAAGGTGTCTCAGATTTTTCCCCATTACAACCTATTATGACTATCTATTGGTTCGGTAAGACTGTCGATACTAATTATAAATTGAACAGTTGCTAAGAAACTAAAATATGACTATAACTCTAGAAAAGATTCTTCGCTACTGAACCATTCAACGAATAGTTTCAAAAAAGTCAATATCTCTGAAAATAATAAAATATGGCCAGTGTGAAACACGTTTGATTTGCTATTTCGATATTTATGAATTTTTCATCAGACGTTAATCAATTCTTTCCGAAACATCGAGTGCACGCACGTATAGATGACCACGTATACTTTGATGCATGTGTAATTACGCATCCTGTGTGGTGCATTCGTTCATGGTCGTGCACATTTCATATACGAAATTTTATCGAGTAAATCCTCCGGTAGCTTCGGCTGGATAAAGCCTTGCATTTTCACGCTTTTTGTCGGTTCACCTTTTTCCAACCCTTTCCTCTTTACTGCAGATTCCTCTTTTTCCTTTTAGTTCGCTTGACCTCGATCACCGTGGTCGCTGAACCGCAGATTCCTTTTTTCAATTTTAATCCCCAACCAATAGGCAGTCGATGGCAAAAGGACGAGCAACGCAGTTCTTCTGACGAGATTTCGCGATCCCCTTGTCGACACCCAGCCGTGAAATTGTCTTCATTAGGCGACTCGTGTGAAACTCTACGAGTGTCGGGTTTAATTTTTCGCGCGAAACAAAGTATGTTTCGCTGTGAAAAAAATTGAGAAACGAGCGGGGAAAAAATAAGTAAAAGATAAGGGACATTTCGCACGCGTCGAATAAAACCTTAACCGAGAAGGAAACAGAAGTAAAAGTACCTTTAATTAATAAATTCTCCCGTTTCAAAAGGCAATTTTGACACTAAATATCCAATCCCACTTCGTTTCAAACATACGTACACATATCCTCTCGCCAAATCTAATTCCTCGACCTCTCTCTAATTTCCTCGAAATTCACTGTCCCCCGGTTCACCCCGACATCAATTACCTGGAATCCATAGACATGTACACACACCGTATAGGACGAAACTGGAAATCGAAACCGCGTTGTTACAAACAGCATCTACGAGAGTAGAAGCGAAGTCGATGGCCGCGGGTAGGATAATTGCTCGGTGAAAGGAAAAGCCGCGACAGACAGTGAGATCGTGGCGAACGATTCGACCATGGATCCCATTTCCCGTAACAAGCTAACAGCTTTGCTTTTCCAGCTGGAACAATCGGACTCCCCCCTTGGCAGAGGACTGATACCACCGTAACAGCCGTATAACTGTCGCGAAGCGGCATGGTTTACATGAAAGATCGCGCGTGACTAGACGTGATCTGCACGATCGTAAATGCTATCTCACTGCTATTGTTGGTTCTGTGACTTTACAATGGGACGCAGAATTGTTCTGTGTGCTTCAGGATTATTTTTTCGTTAATTAGCACGGAACGGTTGGGTGAATAGCAAATCTTACGTGTTTTAGGGTGATCGTCGTTTCTTTAAATTCGACGTTTCATTTATAGAATCACAATATTAATATCGCGTGTTCTTAACATTTAACCACAAACAGAATGTTTGTTTTATTGCTAAGCCAAGATAATTTATTTTATTGTAAGTTAAAGTTTGTCAAGCTCTAAGTATTAAGAAAAATTATAACGAAAAAAGGGGATTTTTAATAATAATAACAATAATCAGAATTTAGTAAAAATACATATATTCCTAATTAAGCGCCAAAAGTTGATGAAAAGCTCTCGTTACCTTTCATCCTGTAGTTTTGATTAACGATGAAGCATTTTTTTGAAATTAATGAGAAATTTGATCGATTTGTTACGAACAATCGTAGCCGATTTTCATTTAAAATTCGCCGGTATTTTAAAGGGATAGAAGTGATAAATACGATATTATTGGCTTCGTTAATGAAGCATGCCGAGCACGATTTAAACGTAACATCGAAATAATTGCATTGTTTAGCGATTGCTATAGTCATTAATGTATATGTAAAATAACGACGATCCTTGTCGCACATTTATCGCTAATGAACGAAGATCGTACGAACGAGTGTTTACGAGAACCTGGTGCCCGATGTTCGTGACTTCTATCGCATCCAATTGTTACATCATCCAAACGAGAAATGAAAATATGATAAAATTCTTCGAGTGCAGAAAGTTGAACTTTAACTTTATGGATCTGCACAGAATTTTACGTTACGAGTAAAATCCGCTTTGCGGCGATATTTTTATTCGTTGCTGCGTGTAAATTTTTTTCACGTTTAATCATTTTCACAAAATTAATCCTCTTGCAATGAAAGTTGGATCATTGTTGCCACGAGCGTGGAATATTTTATTCTATAGACATTAAACGAGAAACCGGCTGGAGAGCAGATTATGTACAATAATTCGGTCGGATAATATAATAATACGTAAACGTAACATAGAAAATAATAAACGTGAAATATTTGCATGAACCAGATTTTGCTCGGTGTTCGCCGTCTGTCCAACGGTTAACCGATTGGTTCTTTATCGCTCAAAACAATTTCACTGTTGCGAATATTTTGTAAAAGTGTATGATAACGAAACAAAAAGAAAGTTGACGAAAATGCAACGGTAAATTGAGACGAAGCTTGCTGGGCTTTTTAGAGATAGCGGCTTGAACGATTTATCGAGAGCGATGCAATAAGGAAATTACGAGGACTCGAGGATTTATTGAATCTTCTCAGCTCGTTTCAGAACGTAACTCTAGTCGAGGACGGATTGCGATAAAAGTGCTTAGCTGTAGCGAGTCGTAATGGAGTGTGATTGATAACGCTTTGCTCTCCTCGATCAGACCCAGTTTATCATTGTTAACACGCGCGGACAGACGTGGACACGTGTTCCCTCCAACTTGGAATAAATTCTCTCTTCCACCATTCCCCCTTAATGATCCTCAAATACGTATATTTATGTTTTATCACAAATCACTCTTAATTTTTGGCAAATCAAAATTATTGTTATTAGGCAACGAATGGATTTCCTTCGACAGTAAGTACTAATCGATGAATCGAGTGAAAAATTTCAATCTCATTCTGTACCATAGAAGAGAAACTCCAAGGCCGTATTAAAATACCTGCAATCCATAGGCGATCTACCTTCTCGTTCCTTCTCTACTTTCCCAATCTTCCTTGACAAGATTTCTTGAAAATCTCGGTGCATTCAGTTAGACCGGTAACAACCCCTTCCTGCATGTTCGTCGTGGATTACGCCCCTAAAATCGGGAGGTCAGTGAGCTGGAAGAAAGATAAAATCCGCGCGATTCGTATTCGCCTCGTTACATCGGAACGACGCAATTAACAACGTCGATCTGGTCGATCGAGTCCGGACGCTGGAAGACGCCTCCGCTTTTGTCCGATTCGACCCGATTTGAAAATTTCACCGCGGCTACATCGCTGTTCTTCGCGACGTATAAACGAGAATATAGAATCGATACCGATTGCCTGGCGTACAGTTTCTCTCGGTGACCTTCCTATCCTCTTTCGTCACACAGGGAAAGTTCAGCTTGCAGTTATCTTGCCACCTCTTTGTATTGACGATTTCAATTGCCAGCTAGGACAATTTAGATCCAGCCGAGCGATAAATGGCGCGCGATTGAATAACGCCTTGATTAAACGCGATCCCATTTCTGATAATTCTCCCGCCTTTTACTGCCCCTCGATCCCCTATCGTGGAATTTTCCTCGCAATAAAGTGCAGCTATTCGAAAGATGTCCAGAATACTTGCATCTTTTGGTCAATTTGTTGGGGAATTTGTTATAAATGAATTATTCCATCTTTTTCGGATATCGTACTCCACCTTGCAATTATCATTATATTATCGTTACAATTGTAGCTTTTACTTACGATGTCCACGAGGTGGTGACTCGCCGGTGATCGAGGCGATGCGTGGTGCGTCCTCGCTGATTTCGATGTCAGCCGACTTCTGGTAGACGTCCGCGATGGAGGCGGTGCAGCGCAATACCAATCGTCCATTACGAAACATGTCGTTCGTCACCTTGAAGTCTATGGTCGATTTCGATACTTGTGAATCGTCGTCCTGTGGAATGACCAAGTATCTGGTTCTGTACGTCATACTGCTGTTCGTGATCTGCAAAGAAGTTCAAACAAGGAAAAAGTTTAATTCTCGGTTCATATCTTTCGATTATAAATAATCATAATAGTTTGGAATAAAGATGATCATAATCATTCGCAGGATATTTAATTTTATTTGAAGACCATCGATCATCTCGATATCTATTACAAAAAAACATGGCAAGCTCCGGTTATTTCAACGACGAGATCGTTTCCTTCTACTTTCTTTTTTTAATTTTGTGCTTTCTGTTGTCTACGGAAGAAACGAGGGTTTGTATTTTTCATTTGCCGCTAACGGTTAGGCAGGATTTAATTAGAAAATTAGTTTCGCTATACTCGCCGAGGCAGGGAATGTTAGTCCGTTAACAATGCACTAAAGCAAGTGTACACGTCAAATAAATATTTAGCGGCTAGAGAATGAAACAGATTAATTCTGAAGCTCGACGTTGTATATACTTGTATATACTTTTATGTATAAAGCATAAATTATTATGCCACTGCGAGAAGACCGCCTATCGTTGAATATGCGACGATGATTTTGTGTCGGGAAAATGGGCCGTGTTGTCTTATTTAAGGCATTGAATAAATAAAATACTCTTCGCAACTACCAAAAACTTCAATTAGAAAAATCTCTATCCTGCAGATTGTCGTGTATGCACATTCCGCGTCGACAACTGCAACTAACACTTTTCTTCTGACATCTTTCTTAAGACGACTCGATGAACCTAATCTAATCTCACTTCCCAAAGCACGAAACATCGTCCATCGAGCGATACACCGTTCAAACTGTTACTACGCAGTTATTACATTATTCCCCAGACCTTTTAACGTTTTCCTGGACAAATAATTATCGATCGCCTATCAGAGATTCGCTAGTCAATCCAATTTCCTGCTTGCCATCGAAGACGGCGTCTCCACAGATTCTTCTGCTACCTCTCTCTCAGAAATGAATTCGTTGCTTCTAAAGATATTACGCAGTTTCGTTGCTCTTAAGGTAAATGAACGGCGGGAAGAAACGGCTTCGAACCTTTCTCTTTTCATTTTCCCATCTTGTTCTTCCTCCTTCGCTTTACTTCTTCCCGGTTTTCTTCAGAGACGATAGAAGAAAGGCTAAAGAAACAGAGAAGACGCGACATGAGAGTCGCTCGGAGTTATTACTTCGGGGAACAAACGAGGGGCTGTGCATTAAGTTCGCGGGCTCGCGATGACGCGAGACTACGCGGTCTCTGTTCATAAAACATAATGCATAAAGCTTGTGCCTTGTCGCGTATCGTCGTTTCTACTCCTCCTCTGTCTGTCTTTCTCTCTCTCCCTCTCCCTCCCTCTCTCTCTCTCTCTCTTCGCCTTGTCTTATCCCGTGATATTGCGACTTCTCTCGCCAGCGATATCGACGTCACACAGAATTCTCGCTGAACGAGAACGTATGCCATCGTTCCTGATTTTTATTCAGATCGAGCGTGTTCCTCAATGCAACGTTGACACGCGATGGTTAATGGCGATGGAAGTTGCTCATTTGGGAAGATGGCAAATTCTGGTACAGTGGATGCGACCTTCTCAGACAATTTATGGGGTTGAAGTTCGGACGAAGATAGGTAGCAGTCGCAGAACAAATTTTAAACTGTCCCGTCTTAAGTGTCCTGAATGACGATCGACCAACGATCAAAAGCTGTCGAGTCACCACGTCAAATTTTGTTTTGAGTCACGATATCCGATCAACTGCTACCACATTGCAGCCTCTGATCCAACCCTATCGACTGCAATAGCTTCTAATCCAACCCTATCCTCGAGACAGTGATTTTCCCGGCGGGAAATGGAACGTAATCACGAGCCGGTGATCTCTCGAGAATACTTTGATCACGCGACACCTCTCATTAATTTCGCAGTGGTGAAATATAATTAACCGGATATCCCAACGTGGAAACTTCGTCAGTCAGATATCGACGATCGTTCGAGATTTATCGGCACTAGCTGATGAAGCGCAGATACCCCTCGGTATTCCCTATACTTCTTCTCCGACTGTCATCACGAATATCCGACTATCTTCTCGTTGAAAATACGATTTTCTGTGATTCGTCATATTGCGAAAACTTTATGAGTGTTTCGAGTCTTCCTGGCGGAATTCCGCGTCGTTGTAAATTCGCCGAGTTTTATCGTTTTCTCAGAATTCCCTGCCACTGTCGTTTATCTTGTCTGCGTCAGCGCAACCATACCGCTTCGTACAAAATTCCTAGCACGGATCTTCTAGACAGAATGTAGGTCGCGTTCTTTCCGCGAGTTGATAGCTCTTGTTCCATTTGACGATTAGCATTTCCAAATGAATACAGGATAATTATGAAGCGTCGACGAATTCCCTTTCATCTTTGATTGAGAAGTTCGATTATTATTACGAACAAAGATCGTGTTTCTTAAGGGGAAAATACTAACTGCAGAAAACAGTACCTGCAAAGTATACAGAGAACTTCTACGCCATTTCTCAATTTTAACATCCACATACGTGATCGATCACTTTCGAATTAATTTCTCAGGAGTCAAACAATCAGCGTCGATGAAATCGATCAGTTTGTATAAGGTACGTACTAAGCTGAATTCCAACCATACGTAAATTCATGCACGAAACAACGAGAAATTTTCTTTCGTTCGCAAACTAGTCCCTCGAACAATACAGCGAAGAATATCTTCGTTTATTTGAATCCTAGGCCAACTAGATCACAAATACTAAAATCACCATCGATGCTTTCGTTCGTAATCGCGGAATTAAATCACACCCTGTCAATAACAAACAAGCGTACGAATAGTTTTGAACGATGGCGCGTATTTCATTCAACGCTATTTTTGCTCAATCAAAACCCGCTTTGAAACAAACACTCGAGACCGGAGTCACCAAGTGGGTACTTGATCCTCTGCCAGGAGGGCGCTCTTTCCACCGATCCGGAATCCAGTACTCGGTCGTATTTTCTCGCCGCCGCTTCTTCCGCTTAGCCACGCGAAGCATCGACGAATTTTCTGCGACAAATCTCAGCTTTCGGACAAAGACCCCAACGAAATTCCCTTAAAGTTAGAAATTCGAGATACGGGACGAGTGTGTACGCGTGGATGCAACAAGGCCGTTTCCCTGGGGCCTAACCATCGAAAATGTATTATCGTGGTGTCCGTGTCACGGATTTGTCGGAGACTGTCGCGCGAATCGGGAACGCCAGAAACGTCGCTCGTTAGAGGCTTCTTTCCGGTAGACGACGGACAGAAAACCGATAAACGCGTCATCCAAACCTTCGCGCGACTGTCATTGCCGTGATCTCCGGGTGCGTTGCAATTTTCGAGGACGAATGGTGACGAGAGGGTTCCTGTGCCATCCGAGTTTTCCAGTTATCCAAGTGGAAACCGGGTTAACGGACGTCGAACTGTATTTTCAAGATTGGATGGTTGCGTTTCTTCTACACTTTTTTACAGTTTTTCGCTAGTTTTCACCGAAGTAGATTTGCTTCGTACCTGCGGCCAATAAAATATTCTGCTTCTTATATATTATTAAGCTAAGTATAATCTTTGGCGCTCAAGAATATCGCGAAGCTCGATTAACCACCGATATTCCAAAGAATCATTATGTAAAACGACAGGACAAGTAGACCACTTCAATCCACTACAGAAAAGAGGAAGCTGCGCAACCAATAAGAACTTCGAGCAGGGGGGATGCAATTAAGTTTCATCGAACATTACTCTCGCAGTCTGCGAAAGCTTTTAACTCCAATATTGCCGGAGTCAGCTTGTGTATTCGTGGATGCACACCTGCGAACGCGTACATTTTTGCGACGCTATACACGCACGACGTTGCGAAGTATCTATACATACGTATACAGGATGTCTCTGAAATTGTGCAACAAGCGATCAGTGTGATAATTCTACATGTAAAAATAAGTTCTCTCTCTCCTCGTGTTAATATCTGTAAACACGAACGGTATCACGATTTGCTTTCTACCACGTTACCGTTATCTTATTTCCGCAATTTTCGCATTTCGAATGCTTTCGTAAATAAGGACGAGAGTATTGCCTTCTAAGAATGATTTTATTAACGTAACAAGTGTTCAGAATGTTGCCCAGAATGTTGCAGCATACATAGCCTCTGCTCTCCAATTAAATTATTGTCAGCACGAGCAGAAAGAAAAGTCCGATACCTCGAAACTTACAATTAGTACACGCGCACCTAGCAGATCTTCGAACTCGTTTTTCTCGAAAACGAAGTTCCAAACGTCGAAAAAATATTATTCTTTATTTGTCGATTTATTTTTGCTCGTAGAATCATCATCCCACCGCTTGTACCACGATTTCGGAAACAATTTGTATATTATGTGTGACGGAGAGATGGAAACGATTTCCTATTTTGGTGACCGGTATCGTTGAGCAAACCACCGGTTGAAAAACCTGCATTTTCTCAATGAACCCAGCTTCTATTTTGATCTTTGAACGACCCAAGACTTCTACCTGTTTCCATCCCTTTCTCAGCCGTCGTTTTTCCGCATGAGCTGACGCGCGTTTAACAACTTCTCCAGGCTACCTCCGTCGATATTTCTCGCGAGATATCTGCTTACAGTTCGCTCGAGAAGACTTAAAACTCTAGATCGTATTAAAAGTTGCATCGTCCCGCGAGGCTCGCTGGAATAAATCCTTCGTCTTGAAACTCCGCTCCTTCGATGGGTGAACCGAGTTAACACTTTGCTTTCTCGCCGGAGGGATATTCTCTGTTCTTTCAATTTCACCATTTAGCTAGACAAACTAGATACGATCATGTTTCGTGCACGGTATACCATTGGCAAGAAATATCGCTATGCTTCGCCGGAATTTTCTCCCTTGTTCGTAATACGGCGTAGTTTCTTATACAGCATGTAGATTTTGTTTTTGAATAAATTTTAAACGGAAGAATTTTAAACAAGATCTTTCTTTATAGATCCTTTATTTAAGATTTGATATCAATTGTTCAATCTGATATTCCATTGTCTCAATTACATTTTGTATTAAATTTTGCAACATTTTCTGAATAATTTGTTCGACCAAATCTTATATGACTCACCGTGAGACTGTTCGTAAAACGAAGTGCAGAAACAAGGCGAGGCGATGATGTTAGAAGAAAGTTGCCGACAATGGATCAGAAGGAAGAAAAAGGAAGAAGAGGTAGAGGGTACGGGTAGCTTGGTTCTTGTGACACGCGTGTCAACGTTCACTAGCGCAGGTAAAAGCCAAAAATGGCATGGCGAAATTGCTGGTGCCTGCTGCATTTTCGCAGCGGCTATTGTTACGGGCTGGACACGCGAATTTTCAGTCGCGCTTAGAGACCTCTCCCTTTCCCCTCTGGCCATTCATCCTTCCACTCTGTTTCACCATCGTCTCTCGGCCCGTTTTCGTTCGGCGAGAAACTAAATCGCCAGCCGCTTTCAGCTCTCGTCGCCACGCGTTAATTATAACCGATCCGATCCCATAAAGCGGCCAAATTTATTTCCCGAACCCGTCGAGACCGGGAAAATTATTTCGTCAAATAAATCTCGGACCGGTGGACCGGGGGTTATCGACGCGTTGAAACACCACCAGGTACGAGATCGAAGAGCGCCACTGACTGAGATATTAGGAGCCGATACGCTCACTGATTTGTTAACAGTGCAACTATGGATCGCTATATTATAAAATATGGATTTGCATGAAAAAAAAAATGGAAATGGAAGATTTATTTATAATGGTTGCAAAAAGTATTGACAGATACCTCTATTTTTCAATGAAGCGTCCTTTTATCAAATTTTACATATTTCACTTTGATGATATCAAATTTTTGTAGTCATACGATAGTATCGTTAAATAACACGAGATTTAATGTACTCGGACACAATTAATCGGTACGTAAACTATATAATAAATACAACGGCGTGTCGATATCTCTCGTAACGAATGTATATTATCTATATTTATCTGATATAGCGATACATTTTAGCGTTAGTAATTCACCGAATAACGCAGAACGTTAAGAGTTAAGCATTAAGCAGAAATCCGAACAACAGGAAACATTCGCGCTGTCTGAAGAACAGTAGTCTGACTAACGACTAAAGTCGAGCAAATAACTTCGGCATCCTTTTCCTCGCGACATCGCGGTCCATTTAAGCCTCGGGCAGAGCCCTGAGGGATCCTCGAGAGCTTCGATCGCCAACTTTTCTTAGAACTCGAACGCTGTTAAACACGTTCCTCTCTGCTTTATCCTTGTTTTCCTCCGACAAATGTACATCCTTCCTCGCCAATAACATTTTTACGTTCCCGTAAGTGTTCTCAAAGAGATTTTTTCAACATTTGTTCTGGAACATTCGCTGAAACTTGTTTGATACTGTTTTTACTTTGTTTAATAGGATCGAAGAAATATATTCATACGTTGTTCTGTTCTACGCACTGTTTCGTTAAAAATTGGTAGGTTCGGTGAAAAAGTGTTACGAATATATTTTATTATTTCAAAAATTGAAAGATATATCCAAGCTTTTATGAAACATACGCGTAATAAATCAAATATTTCGATTTTTATTCTTGAAATATTTACATAAACATTTCCAAGCGTTTATGGCAACGCGTAGTAAAATATTTTAATGTTTCAAGGCATTTCTATTTGCCATTTTTTTTTTGTTTTTGCTTTCCTAAAATCGAAAACAATTTGAACGCGATTGTATTTTGAACGTCCTCTTCTTTAAAATCACCACTTGAAAATCAAAGAAATTGGTTGGTTCCTTTATATTCTGCGAGGCATACGCGCCATTTGTTCCGATCGATCGCGTTACGTCGGCACGGTTCTATTCAATTTCCGTCCATCTTCGACGCCTTCGATCCAGTTTTGTTTTTCAATCAACACTGGGGCCGACTGTAACTACCTGGTCATTTCACATTTCAGCGCCGAGCTTTCGTGCGGTAGCACGGGTGTACAGCATAGCGACGGGAATTAAATTTATCGAGATCCATCGAGATACATATCCGGGCAATCGGCGTGAGGGTGGAGCGACGAACAGGGGAGGGTGGATAACCGGTGGCTCGCGATGCCTCGTATGCAAATAAATCGTTATTCCGCGGTATTTGTTAAATCAACCAAATTATTCCGTTAAATCGCAGGCACCATCGTGGCTCGACGCGTTTAATCGATCACGATGACCCCCGATGAGTTATATGTTTTCGATCGAGAACACGGGATGCTACGGCCACTTCCGCCCGTTGTCTTCTTTCTCTTGTCCCATTTTCTACAGTTTTTTTGGATGAATCGTGATATAAAAGCTAATAGGTATTTTCTGTCGTTTAATGTTAGTTTTGTTTCTTTATTTTGCCACGTGGAATCGTTCTTTGAAATTAATTTTTAGTCTGATATTTCCAATGGCGACAGTGAGAGTACTGGCACTGTATCTTTGCTTCTCGTATTTTTTCAAATTTCCTGTGACCCTTTATCTCTATTTTTCTCTCTATAGCGATGGTTATTTACCTCATGATGTACGCGTAACGCTATTTTACTTTAATTTCATTTGTTTCCAACCAGAACAATCTAATTCGATCTAATCCATTACAAACAACTAAACTTGTAGTAGAAGCAATTTGATTCTATCTAATCTGTTATAGACGTGTAAAAAGTCGTCCACGCCTATTTTACATTTATAGTGGCTGTTTCGTAATAAATAAGAGCAATCTGAGATTTCGTCGAGACAAATTATTTCCCGTTTAAAAGATTGGCCACTTTCGCCCCGTTTGATCACTTCTCGAACCGATATCTCCACCAAATTGGATTTCAGGTATCAAATTCCAGCTTCGAATCTTCTTCCACGACGTTCTTTAAGATTTGTGCTGGGAAAATTCTTAGAAAGACAAATGACGTCGATTAAAGTCCTGGATGGGGTTATTCGAGGAGCATATAAGAGTGTAACAGGGAAAACGGCATTCATTAGTTTGTCGTCAGACCTTCCATTGGTTATCGCGTTGGTGTGCCTTCATCTGATTTATGCTCGTCTTTTTGACTCTCTAAGTGAATACTCTACCACGTTGAAACTCATTTAACTTATTGTGTCTTCGAAATGAAATCATCTAACTCTTTAGTCCATTCGATCCCAAAATTTATCGTTTTCGGTCGATCAACGAGTTCGATTTATCGTAAATTATCTATTATAAAGGGTATATTTTCATTCTATTATTACAAACATTTGCAGAGTGGACGATTAATCTTAAGTAAATTTACTCTTCAGACCCTTTACTCTCAAGTGCTCGAAACACCGTTGGTTGCAGGGGAAACTCCATCGTTGTAGAATAGTCCATCAATTTTGAAGTATCACTACTCTTTCCTCTAGCCCTCGAATCATTCTACAATTCCTCTATCATCGAGCATTCGACACAATACACAACCGCCATATTCCAAGAACCTGTCATCTTCATCCACGCGAATTCTCAACGTTATCTCATCGCTTCTTCGCCTCTCTACGCTGGAGTCTTTCGAAAAATCGGGCGAGGCATATTTCATCGTGTCCTCCTTAACATTGGATTTCTCTGCGACGAGATTCACTGCAGAATCAAGGATTCTCCGAGCGTTTCTCGGGAGTATCTCGCGAAATTGATCTATTTTCAAGGAATATCCAAAGAAAAAGATCGATCGCACGATGGAACGGACAGGATCGATCGTTATTCTGTTTTTCGACGAAATAATTGCCGTTTGCTGGATACGAGCCGTTGAACCGTGGCTCGATCATTTATGTTCACTCTTGTTTACACGCGCCGCGTACACGGCCAAATAATTCGTTCGCGTGCTGGGAAATTAATTACGAATTATAAGCGGAACATCAAATTGCTCTAATTAATTAATCCGTCACAATGGGCCCGAATATGTGTTTGCTTGTGTCGGCCGCTCTTCGCCGGCCTAATATCCGGCAACATTAATAATTCACTCGAAATAATCGCGCCCCGCTATTATTGTACCCCCTTGACATATCACGGGTCACCGCAAAAACCAATGGCTATTTTTGTCTCGCCCCACCCACGGTCATCGTTTTTGTTCTGGTTACCTTGGCGAGGTACGTTTTTGATTAATTCCTGGCCTGGAGAAAATTTGTGTGCACGCGTGTTTTTAGTACGAAATAGGTACGAGGTAATAACGAAGCGCCACCAAATGGATTGGCATTTTCTTTTTTTCTTTTTTTTTAAGGAACAGAATACGTGGAATAGAATTGCAGATAGAATGTTTAGAATGTTCAGGGTAATTGTGGAATATTTCTGTATTTAAATTCGTGATACGCTAGTTAATAACGAAACACGATCAGACGAATTAGTTGTTACTTATTTGACATATTCTCGTGTTTAAAATGTTTAAGATGAATTCTGGAATATTTTTTTCTTTGCAATATCCGAGATAGTTGCACGATACTCTTATATTTATTATCAGGATATATACACGACACTCGTGAGATATTTTTAGATCGAAAAATCTATCGACTAATACAATTCATATATTTCTCCCGGAAAAAACGTCTTTCGAATACAAAATCTTCTTCACTCCGCACCCTCAATCTCCTCAAGCACTTCCTTAAATTCATTCACCTTCCTTCACATCCCTCGAATCACCCTTCTTCGCCTTTCCCTCTGAAATTATTCCTACAGCGAGAAACACCTCGTGTCAACGAGCTTACCTGAACGGCGAACGGGGTGAAAAGGTAAATGGAACGTAACGGAACGAGGGGTTAGAGGTTGGCGAGATGGAAGTCGAAGCGAGGGTGTTCCTTGTGGAACTTTAATCATCCAGTAAGGTCACGTAGCTACGGCTCGAGGACATACATATATAGCGGCTTGGAATAAGGCGTGAGAGAACTCCGACGATATACTTACGAGATCCTTGTTCAGCTTCCACGTAATGGCGGAGGCGGGCCTCGAGTTGCCTGTGGTGCAGTTCGCCCGCAGCAGCTCACCCACTGCGATCCTTTCTTTCTCGATACCGATCGTCGGGTCCGTTTTCGGCGCGTCTAAGGCATAATAATTACGTTGTTTAGCACACGCGACTGCTAACTCGATGCCTGGCGTAAAGCCAGCTCTACACGTCGAAGCGTCGATGCGAAGAGTGAGCTGGAAGGGGTTGCGAGTGTTTTGGCAGATCTTTCTTGGTTGTAAATATATATATATATTATTTTTGGAGTCGAATAGAGTATTTATTGTTGTTATATATATTATATGTAATTTATATATAATTTATGTTATATATATATATTTCATTATATTCCATTTTTAAAAAGTCAAGCAAAATTTGATTTAATTAATTTGTAATGTTCAGTTTCTTGTTTCGATAGACTTGATCAACTTGCAATAGAAATTTACGTATTCGTGATACATTTAATCAATCTGACTTTTCAAATCTCGATAGAGTTGACTCGAGTTCAAAATTTATGTTTCGTAATCCTCCGACGCACAGTCGATAGATACTAACAACAATTCGTACAAATTACAGAATCTAACAATAATCCAGTTTAAAACTATTCCATTACTCATAACTACTTCACGTTTCTCAATTTCAAACCGTTCAATCCTTCGATACAATGGAACCAGTTTCTCAGCCCGTGGATAATTAAAGCGGCATCAATGTTCGAATTTCTATTCTGGAAAAGGGACGAGGAGAAAGAGAGTTCTTCCGGTAGTAGTTGAGGGCCGAGTCGCGTTCCTGTTGGAAGTCTTCCGCGAGCCGTCGAATCCAACATGAAAATGGGTGTCACGTAGGGGCGCACGTGCGCCGCATTACGGGATGGCGCTCGCGCGATTCAGCAACCAGAAGGATTTGTCTACTCGGTGAAACTTTTTAATTCTGAACCGAGTCCAGGCCGACCACTACTCACCTACTACTTCCATTCTGGCCCTGTTGATCAACGTGTGGTACGAAGGGCTTCCAGCAGACACCTCGCACTTGTACAACCCCGTCAGGTTCCTCGACACGTTAACTAATGTTACGTCGTTCGAGTTCGATTTGGAAACCTGTAAAATAAATCCAGATCGAACATCGTTGATAACAAATATTAGAATCAGTGCTGTTATCATAGATAAACGATTAGGATCGTTCTTAGAGACTGTCCTTGAAGCTGGACAATTGTCTATCAGCCAGAGAATATGAAATTGATTTTCCTCGTCTTTTGCGCAGACGGTATCGTTTAAAATTGTTTAACTAAATAAAAACTTGTCATTCTAACTTTCCTAACAATATCATTATACAAAACTACGTTCAGAAAAATTTCCTAAATTTCTTCTGAAACTCGCCAAGACCGAAAACGTCGATCGAAATTTTATTTCGACTCGCGGTTTCCGTCTACCGTGTGTTAAACTCGCGGGACCGGAAACCATCGATGCTTTGGTGAACGATGCTTCCATTCGGAAGGAAGAAGTCGAGGGGACGAGCTGCTTCGCTTGAAACCACCACGAGGATACTTTTACAGGCGATCGAGCCGCTCGAAATCTGATAGCGTCGAAGGAACTACCAGGAACTTTCTCTGCACCTCCTTCTTCTTCTTTTCGTTTCGGGTGATATCGTTCCGCCAGGAAGTTGACTCGACTCTCGGTTACAGGATTGATGCCCGACTAAAATGTATTCTTCTATCGGCACGCCGGAAAATGTTCCACTCGCTTCCACGGATTCGATTAATTTCTTTCGAACGTTCGTATCTCTCGCGAACTATCTGCCATTCTATTTAACTTTTCGAAAATCAGTTTCCTGCAAGAAAAATGGACTGCCGCTGCTTGATGGAGCAGCCTAGGAATTTGAAGATCGTCGATACAGCTTACAGTTCGTTTACAGCCATTCGTAATTCTTCGGACAGTTGCTACGATAAATTGATATTTCTGTGATCGAACAACAAAACAACAGACTGTGTTCCTTTCCATTGACAGGATAAATAGTACTTAATTACAGGAAATACAATAGAAGAAATGAATTGCATAGATGGAAAAATAATAATAACAAGACGATATCATGGTGATTACTTTCTGCATTTGTTTACGGAGAAAAAAAAGAATATACGTAGTACCATCTATTCACCGTAGTTTCCCAACAGATTACGCCCTGACAATCATTCCACGTTACAAAAATAAAACAAGAGACTCTTTTAAATTTCAGGGCACCCACCTACGGATTTCCAACATTGATAACGATCTCTCAGCAACTTCATAAACGAACCTTATTCACTCTGTCTCTTTTGTATAAATTTCGAACGGAAACGCGTATAATTTCCCGAATCTCTTTTTTCCTATCTTCTCCGCTCGCTTCGCTCGTTTTACTTTCCAGCTCGATTCCCTCCCCCCCTCCCCCCAGAATTACTTTGTATTCCACGCGACTATCGACCTTCCATCTAACCCTCTCCCCACATCTAAATCTCGATCGGACTATATTCTACCCCCTCGACCGACCCCTCGTCGTTGCAATCATTTATATGCATCGCGATGGTTCCCTCTGCCTGCTTTACAAACTACACCGGATACGGAAACAAGCTCTTTTCACCATTTCCTCCGCTTCTGATGGAATCGGCGGACCGACGAAAGAAACGTCCGCAGATCGTAGAAAGACGTTTCATCGATGGATTCTCGTTGTTTTTTCGAAATATCGAAAGATCGATATTTTTGTATTTTCGTCAGAAGACGAGAGTCATTTGATACGAGACGAATCAAGACAGTTCTGATCAAATAATCTTCGAATATTCGGATTTCCTTTTCATACAATTATTTTAAATATTAGACGAGCTATGGTTATTTTTATTTCATGGTATAGCCCATCACGAGGAACCGATAGCTTTCCACGAAGATTTACGAACGACTGAAGTCTCGTGTCGTCGATACGCCACCTTGTTTTTCGAACCATTCTCTACCTCGTACAGGCTATTCATACGCGTGCTGCTTCTATGAATCCTTGTCGCTAGCCGATCTTTTACCATTTGTTTGCTGCATTGGAGGAATAAATCAGGTTTCGTAGGAAGACAGTGTTATCGCGGTGGTTTGTCGTTTCGAGGAAGAACAGGCTGTTGGTTCTGATAATCCAGCTGCAGATAATCGATAGTGGTTGGAGATAAAACGATCTAAATAGTAATATTGGTACTACTAATCCATTAGAGACCGATATTTTGTTAAGCTTTCGCGGTTCTTCGTTTCGCTACATTTTACTGTCACGTTATTAAAATTCTATTCTTTTTACATTGTATATGAAGAGAATTCTATGAATTTCCTTGATATTAGGTTGTTCGAAAAGTTTCTTTCGTTTCATAAGGTGATAATAGATGAACAACAATTTTTGTTTTATATTATTTTATTGAATTAAGTATGATCCATTTCGTTCTATTTCTATTATTATGTTCGTGCATAATTCAATAAACTAATATAAAACAAAAAACATTGTGCGTCTATTATTTCCTTATAAAACGAAGGAAACTTTTCGGACAACCTAATTATTTTGAGAAAGAAACGATCGATAAAAGCTGAATTGAAACGATAATTAGGACGAATACGAAGTCTTTGTATCTTAACAAATGTCGATACCAGTCGTATCTTCTTGGAACTAATGCACCGTCTCGGCCTTTCTAGCTATCGACGACTCTACGAAACGGCGTTGTCAGCGGAACAGCACCTCGGAAACGAGTGTGGAAATTTTATTAAAGATACCTATCGGCCAGCTGTATGCATCGCGCGAATGAAAAATTTGTTTTCCAATGTCTCGCTACCGAGTCAAAGTGGAATCGAATCGATTGCCTTGGTTTCGAAACTCTTCTATCTTGTCGGCATCCATTTGCCATCGTTCGCAAATAGCAGCCAACCTATCGATTCAACTAAAAAGTAGTTTACAGACTCTCTTTGCTTTCCTTGAGAAAAACTTCAGACCTAAATAAATTACCAAGGCTTTTTAAGATGGTTTGTTTAATATTTACAATTCATTTTAGTTTCACGTGACTAATTGGTTACTTTGCGGCTCGAATTATATATTGGATAGAACTTTCTTAGATTAGAATTACATATTAAATATAGCTTTTACAGAAGATTAGAATCGCGCATTAGATAGAATTTCTTACGGTTAGAATTAGGTGTTAGAATTTTATCTGAAAGCTGTCATTTTCGCATGATCTCGAGGGCAAATAGAGCCGAAACGCATCGCGTTTGCCTCTTTATTGCCTCGAAAATGTTTCGAACGAATTTCGATTGACGATACTATGTTTGGGCAACGTGGTGCTGGCTGGGTACAGCGTGAAAATGGAATCTAAACGCGCCGCTTTAACGTACTCGTATCCTTTTCGTGTTTACTTTGTATATCGTTTCTATCCATTTTGTGTTTTTTAAATCGCCGTTGCTAATATCAGTTTGTAAAGTATAAAACGTTAAGCGACGACGTACAACGTACAACTATGAGAAATGGAAATGAGAACAAAATACAATGGAGAGAAAACACGGGAGAAACAGAGATACTCGAAATGATATACGATGAAATATTTAGAAAATTATTCGATACAAATTATCCATCCTGCATTCGTGCGTTTTTAATATAAAAATTCGTATTAGAATACAGATCGAATATTTAGCATCGCAACTTTCACAGGTGTAAGAACGCTGTTTAAGCGCTCTACTGTTTTTCGATCTAACGAAAAGCGGTGGGATCACAAAGTTCTAAAAGTGTTGGCAATCCTTTGTAAGATAAAATGAACAAGCCTGACTAGTTTACTCTGGCGAGGATGGTGACATCAGGTGGATCCGATAAAAGTGGCGCGCGTCACATCGACGTGAAACTTTTTGCCAACCCCTGGGGGAGCGCGTAAGTGCGAAACCGAACCGTAGACCGGACGAAAGAAATCGATAGGGCTGATTTATAGCGCGAGCTACGACCGCGACACGACCCTTTGGAATCCCCATTCAAGTGGATTTCATTCCAGGTCGGCCGACTTTCTTGTTTTACTCGCCTCCAACTCCACGCCCCAACGTCCTTTTTTTCATCACAGTAATTTTCTTTCCACTCGCGCCTCCATTTAAATATTTCTCACGAATCGAGAGATTGTCGGAGAAAGGTCAGTTCTGATTGATTTTGATCCTGTGGTTGATCAAAATAGCGAGACAGTGAGGAAGCTTCTATCGCGAAATAGTTGAGAATACGAGCTTAAACTTCGCGAGGTAAATGATCGAATTTCAAATTTGAAACTGAATTTGATTTCTAATATTCCTTTCCCTTAAATGAATTTAAACAGCCTATCTTGAGATATAATTATGCTTCAAATATAATCTTCGAATATTTCCTGTGAAAAGAAAAAGAAAAAAAATAGACAAGTTACGAACACTCTCGACAACACACTCTTGACAAACACAACCCTTATACCATTCGAAACCTCTAAAAACTCGCATATCCCTCGAACACTTGCTCGTTACACGGCAACTCTCGGGAGGGTTGCAAAATTTCCGCAGAAAACGCAGTTAGAAAGTTTGAAAAGCGCGACGATATCGCGGGAAGCAGGCGGTACAGTCGATGAGGGGAAAAACAGGATGCTTCACTCGAAGGCGGAAAAATCGGGCCGCTATTCGGTCTTATCTTCCCTTGCTTTCGAAATACAGCCGGCAGACTGATAAATGGACGTCGCTAGTACGTGCTTGTATCGGCTTGCAAAAGAAGTTCGCAGCTTTTGCCGCTGTTTCCTCTTCGAACACGTCAACCTGCAGCGAAAATGCATCAGCTGAACGAAACGATCATCATGGAATTTTTTCTTCCAAAAGAAAAAACGGAATATTTTTCTGCCATATACTGCTGTTGATATAAATGCGAAGCAACAAGAAAAATTGGTGATTCTCCTAAAATTCTGATATATTTGGGACGAATTCTTGGCGAGAAATCATTTGCAATCTTGAAATCACCAGATTTGTTTGCCGAAGAGACTATCCTTCTCACTTTTTCTTTTCTCTTTTAAAGATTAGCTAAAGTTGCTTTCTCGTGGATTATTATCATCAAATGTTTTACTATAAATTAGGTACGTGGATATTTAAAAGTTGAATCATCGATAGAATACTATTTCCTCAGACGGGTCTGTAGGTAAAGTAACGCGAAATCTAACCAAAGGGATAGCACGAACTTCATGAGATTTTTCGTCATAAAGTTTTATCGAAGTGCTCGTTAAGAGTTTAATTGCGCGCATTAGTTGACGGATTCGGGCGCAACAAACCGCGTTTTTGGCTTCCGCCTCCAGAAAGACACTGTTCCCAATTAATTAACAACGTTTCGTATCGACGGAAAAACTATGTCCACCCTCTTGCACAAACATAACGCCCATATATCTGGGCTAGCTTTCATCTTTGGCTCTCTGTTTTATACAAGTCGATAGGATTTAAATAGCCTACCGAGACATCTGTTAGTTGCTGGAATAATTTCATTCTTATTGCTGAAGAGATTTCGGATTTGTGGATTATTTACATATTACTATATGGACAACATTTTTCTAAATAAAATGCTGATTTCATCAGACACGCCTGCACTGTAGCAATTGAAGAAACAAAAATACCAAGCTTGTCATTTTTGCATAACGTACATATGTTTCTTTCCCGATGAATTTCGTTTTATCCCTTCAACTGCTACGATACGGTGTTTTCAAACATTAAAACACTTGTAAATCTGGGTTTCACGTATCGATATTTGTATTTACGTCATTTGTGGAAAAATAAAGAAAAGAACCTGTATACTTGAATACATTTTTTCAACTGAGCTCCCCGTACGTTACAAATAGATTATGGATGTTTATACATTTGTAGAAAGTTTAAAACCAAAATGCGTAGAACGTAATAATCTAATCTAAAAGTTAGTTAAATTAGAAGACGAGAAAAGAACACTCACATTCACGTGCATTCCATCGATGTTAAAGGTTTTGCACGGAGGATCTCCTTCTGGCAGGTACCGATAGAACTCCGTATCCTCAAAGTACCATTGCAAGGAGTACAATGTCAATCCTTCTAGATCGTAATGACAGGATAGTGTCACTGTGTCGCCCGATCGTACCACCGCTGGCACGTTGATTGTCAGATCTTTCAGTCCTGTTACACCTATAATCAAATAATGCGACACAATTTTGTAAAAAAATGCGACTGCATCGCGTAACGGTGATTTCTATAAAGTTTAGGGAGAACATTGATAACAGAAACAGTAGCTGTGAAATACAATCCTATTTTATTCGAATCGCTGAACGTATACACGTAGATATATACGTTTTTTTTTTCTAAATACCAATACATCATTTTGAGGATCGACCATTTTTATCGAAAAAGAAAAAAATTTCATTTCGATCAGGAGAGCAAAAAATGTAAAAAAATACTCGACTAACACGTATATATCGTAACGTATACTTACAAATTTGTATATCGCGTAACGGGTATCGGTTTCGTAGATTAATACTGGCCGCAGGGTTGTGTTACCAGTTAGAATGGCAAAACGGATAACCTTCGTATATGGCGTATTTTTCCATCCGCTGTGACGCGTTCGTTTTGTCGTTTTAATTGGCGATACGAGGTGAAATGCTTGAGAGTTCTGGATAAAAACCGTCGAATGACAAAAACCCGTCGTTCTACGGACGTTTTTGTAATTAGCTGCCCGGAGTGTAACCATAGTACGGTATAAAGCGCCACTTTATGACGCGTGTTTTATCGTAAAATATTGTAACTATCCACGACCATGTTATGTTCGTATTGAACAAAGAACTTGTAATTTCGAGAAATGATTACACGTTGCCGGAATGTATTACATAAACGTCAAAATTTGACACTTCAATTTACAACTTTTATAATGTCAAAGGGTTACGAGCAAAAGGCATTGTAAACTGGTACATTGTTCTCCGCGAACCTCGGCGCTTTTATCCAACCAGTTATTTATCGTTCTAATTAGTTATTCCACCCGGTAAGAATGTAGAACGTACGACAATTAAGTCCCGTTTCTAGCGCTAATCTAATCGCGCAAGCAAAGTCCATTTAGTCCGCCAAGTATCTCTTTAAACGGATAAGCAACCCTCCGGCATTACGCGTAGCTTGGAAAACGTCTAATCTCAACACTCCACGGTTTCTACTCCCAGCTCTATCCATCCGTCGCACTCTGTTCCGATTTAACGTGGTCCTAACCTTACCCCTTGTTGGGTAGATGATACATTTACACTGTACATGTGAATGTTTGTGTAAGCGTTAGAGGGCGTCCAGGCTTAGTGGAGACAAAAGACTGTTGCCAGATGTTAGAAGAATCTAGAAGAGTCGGTTGAGAACTAGCATGCGTGCGAGAAGGTTGTCGAGATCTTCAGAGCGTAAGATATATGTATAGCTGTTGTGTATAAAATAAAATAAACGATTTGTATTTCCGAATCCTTTCTTTACCTTAACATGGTAGCAGAGCGTGGTTACTAGTTTTACAAGCTATTTAGTGCGTGGTTTTTAGTCTTGCGAGTTAGTTCGAGTGAGTTTAGTTAAAAAAACGCTTGAGTAAAGAATAGAAAACCAATTAAAATGGAAAGATCGGAAATTATAATACCGAGATTTGATGGCGAGGATTATGGTATGTGGAAGAAAAGAATAACGATGTTTCTGAGATATAAAGAATGTGATATTGTTATAACTCGAGTGAAGACTGAAACAGACAATCCAGACTGGGACAAAAAGGATCTGAAGGCGATAAATATAATTTATAGTGTAATATCAAATACAATACAATTGGAATGTATTAGTGAGGAAAAAACTGCGTATGAAATAATGAGAAAGTTTGACGAAATGTACATAAGAGACAGCACTACAGATCGTGTGCAGAAGGAGATTGGAGATGATAAGTCTCGATAAATACAGTGATTCAGAGTCATTTTTTAGTGATTTTGAAAAATTAGTAAACGAATTAAAAAGTGCCGGCGCACAAGTGAGTGAGAGACAAAAGCTAAAGTACATGCTAAATGCGTTACCTGAAGAGTATAGCTACATAGCCGATATAATAGACGCAGTGAAAGAAGAGAATCAAGCGGTAGCGCACGTGAGGAATAAGATAGAAATAGCTGAAAGGAAAGATAAATCAAATCGAGGAGAAATGAAATATAATGCCTTTGTTGCGAAAAAGGAAGGATGCTTCAAATGTGGAAGAGTGGGACATTTTGCAAGAGAGTGTCAAAATGGCGTCCAAGCGGGAAGCAGTAACAGTTATTGGCGTGGGTCAACACGTGGTAGCAGTAGAGGAAGAGGAAACAAAAGCTATATGAGCATGGGACGTGGAAACTTCCATCGTCAAACAGCAACCGACACGAGTGAGTATGGCAACTCAGGAGCAGGAACTTGGATGGCAACAGCGCACGCAGCACACAGCAGCAGGATGAAAGAGATAAGTAATAATAAGATTATGCGGCTATTAGATAGCGGTTGTACCGATCACATAATTAATGATATAGATTATTTCGACAAATCTATCGACCTTAAAGAACCGGTAAATATATATTTGGGCGATAATAGATCGATAAAGGCAACAAAAGTAGGAAATGCTTAAGCTATTTCGAAGCATTTGGAAAGCGAAATAAAATAAATATGAGTAAAGTTTTTTATGTGAAGAAATGTCCGCAAACTTAATTAGCTTAGGCAAGTTAACGGATAATAATAATATGGTTATTTCAAAAGGAAATATTGCAAAAATAATAGATAAAAACAATAAACTTTCAGCTATAGCGATTAAAGACAACAAAACATATAAAATGAAAAGTATATTGAAAGGGAAGGAGCACTTACTAAACAGTGTCGAATGTAGTGGTATGAATAAAAAAGAAAGAGAAAGAGATAGGGAACGTGAAAGAGATAGAGACTGTGATAGGGAAAGAGAAAGAGATAGGGACCGTGACAGGGATAGAGAAAGAGAAAGAGATAGGGATTGTGAGAGAGATAGGGCAGATTATGTCACACATATAAAACAACATATTGAAGCAGGGAAAAAATGGGACCAGATGGATTACAACCAGACAATAAAATCAAACTTGATTTGGATTCTGACGAAGATGAGGAAGAAGAATAATATTCAGATGGAAATGGTGATTACGAGCAACCAGCATATATTGTAAAAAAAGCTACCAAAACCACTTAAGCCATCAGAAAGCAAAGAGGAACGAGGAAGATCAGAAAAGGAAAACAGCAGTGAGATTCACACAAACTATTCTAGAGACATTCCTTATACATTTGAGGAGGCGATTTATTGTGAAAATAGTGAAGATGGTAAGAATGAAGAAAATTATAAGAAGAGGAAAAGGAATAGAAAATTGGAGAAGGGTAATAACGAAGATAGAAGCAGGAAAGGTGAAGTATCTGCGAGGAGGAAGGGCGAAAAATGTAACAAAAGTAGAACGAAGCCAGGAATAGAAAGAGATAAAAAAAAATATAGGACATTGCAAATAAAAGAGAAAAGAGAGCGATGTTGCAAAGAATATGATATGTAGAATGAATGAATAGAGTTTGTAAATTATCAAGAACGATTTGTGGGTTAAAAGAAAGTCCGAGGGATTGGTATGAGTGTTTTGATAGGTATGTAACGAGATTGGGTTTTAAGAAGAATAATGTAGAATTGTGCTTATATACTCATGGAGAGGGAGAAAATGTTGTTTATTTGCTAATATATGTAGATGATTTGTTAATCTGTAGTAAGAATAAAAAAAAAAGGTTATTAACAGATAAATTTAAAATGAAGGATTTAGGTGAAGTAAAAGAATATCTTGGAATAAATATAGAGTATGATTATATCAAAAATGAAATGAGACTAAGCCAAACAAAATACATTGAATCATTAGCAAACAAATATAAATTACAAGACAGCAAATTGTATTGTACACCTATGGAGGCAAATTTAAAGGTTGAAAAAAGCTGAGATAAATAGAAAGGACATTGTACTGTACACCTATGGAGACAAATTTAAAAATTGAAAAAGCTGAGATAAATTGAAAGAATATTGGATACAGGAATTTAATTGGTGCATTGCTGTATATTAGTACAAATACTAGACCCGATATAAGCTATAGTATAAATTTTCTAAGTAGATTTCAAGATTGTTGTAGCGAGACACATTTTAAATATGCTTTGCGAATATTGAAATATTTGTATCGGACTAGAGATTTAAGGTTACAGTATAAAAGGAATGAAAAGTGTGAAACGATAGATTGTTATGTGGACGCTGATTGGGCAGGAGATCATTTAGATAGGAAATCTACTTCTGGATATGTAATTAGACTGTATGGAAATGTAATCAGTTGGAAGTCAAAAAAACAAAGGTGTGTGACAAAAGCCTTGACGTATGCAGAGTATGTAGCTTAGTGGAGACAAAAGACTGTTGCCAGATGTTAGAAGAATCTAGAAGAGTAAGACATATGTATAGCTGTTGTGTGTAAAATAAAGTAAACGATTTGTATTTCCGAATCCTTTCTTTACCTTAACACCCCTTTATATCTTGTCCTTTGTTTTACATTTACAAAAATTTATCTAACGGAAAAAATTAATATTTATAATTTAACGCTTTCAAAGGAAATATAATATCCTTTCGTTTCGTTGTTTAGACGTATTGATATCCGAACAAAATTTACATTTTTTTTTATTATTATTTAATTTGTACTTTACAATTTGTCCAGCTGGACATTTGGTAAATTTTTCTATCTTAATTGCTAAATAACGTGTGGATGGCTACCCCCAGCGGGATAACATCTTCGAGTTTGACTATTTTACTTCTTTAGTGAAGTCAGTGGGGTGTTTTCTTTTTAATCTTCTCTTTATGAGAGTTTTGCCCGCTTCAGTAGCCAGCTGGTTTGGATGTGTTGCCGTTCTTTCCTTGTATTTTTCTGCGTACCTGCCGATTTCTTCTTTGACTTTTGCTTTCTCTTTGAGTATTTTTAAGTCTTTGCGTAACTTACATTTAACACCGAATTTCATGTTTTTGGAGGACTGCTTCGTTCAATGATAATTTCTTTCATTTCCATATCCGGATGAGACTTTATTTTCAGGACTTGGAATTGGCTATAAATGACGGCTTGTGCGGTGTATCGTCAGTTGCTCTTCCTTATCGT